CTAATTTAGATACAGAGATGTGTATGTAATGGTGGAACCACAGCCACACCTACTTTGCAGTGTTAGCAGATTGTCCGAGCAGCCTACTCGGAGGGCAGGCTCTGTTTTCAGGCGAGTGAAGTCTGTGGTGCCATCCTACTGCCATGCGGACAGTCCCAGTGATTGGTCTTTGCTGGCTGGTGAAGAAGAGAAACCTGCCTTGGGGAAACTTCCGTGGGCTTCTTGCTGTCGGCGGAGTTGTTAGTGTAGGTGTCTCCCTTACATAATGAATACAACAAGATAGACAACACATAACAAACAAATACAGCATACTAGAATAAAACAAACATACAATCATCACCATCATGCAATATTTCCTGCTGCATAGCCTAATTGGGACGATTGCCAGTTTGCTGGCTGGGGCAGTCTGGCTTCTCAGCCTGGACTAGTCAGTCCGTCCGCCAGTGGACAGTGTAAACACAGCTTAATAGCACTTGTCCCAACAATTCGTTAGTTTGTTTTTATACAGAGCCCTCAAAATAATGATAGTGCATTGTCTTTATGCTGTTCGTCTTCTGGCGTCCTCTGGTCTCACACTGTTTGAGACTAGTCTCTAAAGAAAGCTGTCTCTGGTGTGGACCAATCCGCTTCAAAGACAATGCATCATATACTATCAGAACGTGTTTTCTGTTTGCTTGCATATTCGCCACAGGTATATGTGGTTAATGCAGACATGATTACTTGCAAAAGGTTTATGTTTGGTATAACATCTTATCACCTGTTTTATTGGTAGAAAGGGTACAGCTTATTCTTATATTTTGAGACTGACAAGGGAGGTCGCATGATGTTATTTTTCATTCGCCTCCACCTCGATCATCACGGATGGCTAATTATCACGGATGGCTAATTATCACGGTTGGCTAATCATCACGGTTGGCTAATCGTCACGGTTGGCTAATCATCACGGTTGGCTAATTATCACGGTTGGCTAATTATCACGGTTGGCTAATCATCATGGTTGGCTAATTATCATGGTTGGCTAATTATCACGGTTGGCTAATTATCACGGTTGGCTAATCATCATGGTTGGCTAATCATCACGGTTGGCTAATCATCACGGTTGGCTAATCATCACGGTTGGCTAATCATCACGGTTGGCTAATTTTCACGGTTGGCTAATTATCACAGTTGGCTAATTATCACGGTTGGCTACGTACAGGTATCAGTTATTTTTCTTTGCCATAACTCTTGTGCTCATTTCCGAGCTCATGCTTGTGTTTCCACATAAATAGTGTCTGCCTAAACACAGCATCCACACGTAGGAGACATACATGACTGAGGCTTGAACAAGCACAGTGCTGACCACACGGTCTCCCCATTTCTGGTAGCAACCTAATAATGCTTCTGGCAATCGTGTGGACCTTTGCCGTTGTCTTGGGACTCCCAGAAGACAATGAATGCTTTTGGGCATTTTGCCATTGTTTGGCAACACCGAGGACACTTCACCAGATATAGGCTCAGTTAAGATTTGGAGTTTGCTGTCAAGACGCAATCAGGATCAGTTAAGTACAGGTAGTGGTGAAGTTATGAGGAATGTTGTTATACCAGTGGTGTGTGTGTGCCTGTGCTTCAGACGTTTGACTACCCCCCCGAGGCCGGGTACTCGCTGGGAGCGCAAGGGGACCCCAAGATGGTCCTGATCGAGATACACTACGACAACCCCGGGCTAGTGTCAAGTACGGGACGCACCTTGAAGCATGGTGTCGCTAATCAGGGGGGGAGGGGTGTTGCGATTCATTTAGCAGCCTCTCGGTGGGGAAGGATCGCATGAACACACTAAATATGACGTAAAAAACATAGATCGTTATCTGATTAGGTGCACTTATTGAAGGATGAACAATCCATGCCAGTCAATGGATTGATGGGTCATTAACTCCCCTATTTATCCACCTCTTCACTCATCGCCACCACTACCACCACCAGTTCGAGATCTACTACTGGATAAATTAATCCCATATGAACACCCACAATCCAATAACGCCTGTGCCCTGTGTTACTGAATGTACTTGAATTTTCTTAATCTGGCAATATCCGTGCTCCAAATCCAGTTTCAGCTGACGGCAAACTTCAGTCCATTGCCCTGCTCGTTCTTTTCCATAGAGTATCGCTACATGCCAATAAAAAGGGACACATGAAAGGCAAATAAAAAATAGAAATCAAGAAACTCAGATTTACAAACGAAGATGCGGCCAGGGCATCCTATCTTATAGCGCCTTCGCCAAGGCCATTTACAGGGAATTAAGAAAGGGACATATGAAGGTAATGTTGAAGATGAGGTTAACAAAGTAGATGAGAGAGGAAGCAATGGGGGCGAATCTGTGATGATGCGTGAATTCGGTGAAAGCGAAATTGATCACAGTAAATGATGAATTTAATAAATGAATGGGGAATGAGTGATAGCCATGTAATGAGAATATGAAGAGGGAATAGGAACGGTGGTGGTTATGAGGGGAGATTAAGGGGCCATGGGTGAGAAACGGAAAATCAGTGAGTTTTGAATGAGGAGCGGAAAACTAGTTCTCGAAGGTGACTGCTTAATGTGGCGGGGTAGTTTGTTCCAGTCAAGGGAGGCGAGAAGGGAAAAAGAGTGAAAGCATGGATTGAGCACAAGGAGAAGGAGGAACAGAGAGAGAGAGAGACGGCAAAGATTGAGAACGTAAAGGGCGAGAATGCGACGTAGAAAGGTACAAGAGTGGCAAGATATTTGTGGGCAAGACCATGTACTCGACGTGCAGCAGGAATCCCCAACTGTTGCGGGACGTGGACGAGGGGTACCACATTGTGCCACGACTGAGGATGAATAAGATAACGACGCAAAGGTGGTGGCACTCCGATCTGCGACATGGCATGCGGCGAGTTGGACTGGTAAGGGTAGAGAGATTGTTGATGTACCACAGAGTAGGAGCCGTAAGAGTTGCACGTATCCAGGAAGTCGAGTGGAAGGAAGGTGAAACAAAGGAGGTGGGAGGGGAAAGATAAAGGCTACTCTACAGTGGACACAGTGCAAGGAGAAATGGAGTGGAGTAATTTGTGACAAGGCGCTTACAAAAAGATGTGGTAGATGTTGGGATATTTGGGAAATTAAAGACTGAGGAGGAAATGCTCAAGAGACTAATCAGTTTATGCACTAAATGGACGTATTGACGGTACACTAGTGTAGCATAACACACGGTCCTCATAAAATATTCTAGAATCAAAATTTGAACTAGCATTCGTCTTCTGACTGCTTCGACATCACGATAACTGATTTTGACACACCACCCAAGGTTGTACGACCCGGGTTGCGAATCATGAGAAAATAAGTAATAATTTTGAAAAAAATGCTTTTTTTACTCCCCGCACCAGTGTACCACCAATACGGACAAATGCAGTTTGAAGTGAAGAAAGATATCTACTGAGAAAGGCCTTTGCAAAGTAAAGTGCACGAATCACCCAAAAGAGAAATATTGATATTGAGTGCGGTCCTAAATGGACACGTGGGAGAAGAGGGGGGACAATTTTTTTAGCGTCCACGAAGGCAAATGCTTTGACAAAGTTTACGTGAAAAAGAAAGGCCAACTCATGGGATGGAGTGGCAGAGACAGAGGGAGAAAAGTCTAGAAGACCTTAGTTCAGGTTTGCCAATGACAAACTGCAAGGAAACGCCGCACTGTAATTTACCTGCACCTCTGCACCCCCACCCAACTCCAGGCGTGAATGACAACTCCGGCCTCCGCTTCTACATAACACCGGAGCTGCGTGAGTACGATGCGGGGGTGCTGGAGACCGGCCTCGACGTACAGATCATGCACTTCGTCCCGCCCGGAGCACCCTCCTACACGAACTACGGCATCTGCCCCACTGGGGGCTTCGCCACTGTCGGCTCGGACGGAGCCGCGCTGCCGCTCCAGGGAGCGATGTCGCGACCCAGGCGCGTGGCGCCCGGCAGAGAGGCGAGGAATCTCTCACAACACAAAACATCCAATCCACCCCAATCCCCATCTGCTCACAATGGCCTCTTCTCTGTGCAAATGTCTTTTAAGTGGTTATGGAAAAGACCACTCGGCATTCCCAACTTAAAGCAGCTACACTATATACTGCCCGTAACTAAATCACACTCAGTGTGCCCCGTCTTCATCTTAAAATCGGGCATATTTTGAGTGCATAATACAGGTTTTTTGGTTAGATCGCGTTATTTATAAATGTGTCGCAACCCTCCACCACCCGACATGGCCAATCAGTAAAAAAATGTGTCACGTTGACAAAAGACAAATAGTTCACTATTTTAGCCCACCAGTGTGTTGAAGAGTGAATCCACACCATTTACAATTTGAATACGACGTTTCGCTGGAAATTACATCCAGCATCTTCGGGGGATTTGCCAAAATAGTGAAGCCATTCACCTGCTTCCGGTCTTAGATCAGTAATCAGCCAATTATTATTACATATTTCGATTTAAAGCTTTCGTGACTGCAATGATTCATCTTCTTTGGTTCTTTCGGTAAAGTCACGTAGAATGAGAATAAAATAATAAATTGATAAAATAAAATAACACAATAATATTCTCACGACGTTTCGGCCACAACACAAGCGGCCTTCATCAGGTGAAGGGAGCGAGACTGTCTGGTAGGACAGCGCTGGAGTGAGAGAGCCACGTTCAGATCTCGAATCCTGATGGAGTTTAACAATGATGACGTCACCCTGCACTATTTAAGACCGGAAGCAGGTGGATGGCTTCATTATTATGGCAAATCCCCCAAAGATGCTGGATGTAATTTCCAGCGAAACGTCGTGCTCAAATTGTAAATGTTGTGGATTCACTCTCCAACACACTGGTGGGCTAAGATAGTGAACTATTTGTCTTTTGTAAACGTGACACATTTTGCTTTACTGATTGGCTGTGTCGGGTGGTGGAGGGTTGCGACACATAAATAACGCGATCTAACCCAAAAAAACCGTTATTATGAATAATACTGGTCGCGTAAGCCTACGTGTTAAACTGATATTTTGAGTGTTTGTAGGCAATAACCTCTGTGTAGCACACCATTAAATGACCTCTCAGCTTATTCCTACCTCCCAAACGAACAAACATTCTTTAGCACGTTCGCCAACATCACCCGTCCCCCATCAAATTATCGGCAATGTTTTCATAACTCACACTCAAAACCTCAAGACTACAAGTTACAGACACGGTAAAAGTAAACGTGGGACCTTTTTTTAAATATATAAAGTCCATTATTGAGAGTGGGCCTGACCACAGGAGTGCTACGGCCACAGAGAAAATGGGCGTTATGTTCACACAGGCGACGCAGAGTGGAGAGATGAAGGTGTTTGCTACGATGCTGCACGCTCACCTGCTGGGCAGAGCCGTTCAGGTGCGGCACTACAGGTGAGTGTGACGCTCGTTTATGGGATCTGCACAAGTTTGTTGGGACCTCATCCACTGTGCATTATTTTCTCACTTTTGTTTACTTTTCCTCTACCTTTTCTATACTTTTGTTTTGTTTGTTGTTGTAACGTTCTGACCAGCCTCTACTGGACATCTGTGAAAAAGAGCTTTACAGCTCATCGGACTACTCCAGTACTGTATAAATAAAGATTCTTATTCTTTCAATGCTTGGGTCATGCCGCATTGCCACATCATTGTAAATGCGCAGAACTTGTTCAGCGTTCATCGAATAAAGTATGTAAGTCGTAAAAAAGAATAGTTCTTGGTATTCATATTGTACAGGAAGCAGTGCTGCAGTGGTTTGCATTATGGACCTGAACCTTCTCAGCACAGCCTCACATTCTCTTATGCTACATGTGCATTTGGTGAACGCTCAAGCAGACCTTGCCGGACGCAGGGGTTACGTTCATGGAAAATGTCGTGTTGGGCAAAACCGCGTTATAAAAAGAATAGACCTCGTGGGAAAAATAGGGTTGCATTCCTGGGTCCGAAATGATCACCCCCCCCCCCCCTCTATGTTTAACTAACCGTGTGTAGCCGAACCAGAATAATAATGTTTGTTTATCCTGGAGGAATCCGACATCCAAACACGCGTTCGATAACGCGTGTTTGGATGTCGATAACAAGTGTTTGGATGTCGGGCAAGATTTTCCTGTACAGTAGACTCACGATTATCCGCAAACGGTTTATCCAATTTGCGGATTAACCACGCACCTGAGATTTTGACATAACTTAATAACTCATGGAGTTTCCCTTAAGTCCAAATTAATAATCTGAAACAGTTATACATTGTTATTTTTGGACATGTTTATTACAAGTCACGTGCTTAAACCGAAAAAATGTGCTCCGGTTCATCCGAAATCCACGTAATCGCCGCTACAATACAGTAGTTGCATATCTTTACAAGAGTGGGTGGCACTTGATTGATTTTGATTGGCGTGGCTCTGTTGCTGTCCACTTAGTGAGCGGAGTCTTCTGCTCGAGAGCAGGAAAGTGGTATCACTGAGCACGCGCATAGATCGTTGGAAAATTTATATTTTCAGAATATCCACGATTTTTAATTATCCGCGGCCGCCCTCCCCATCATTAGCGCGGATAATCGAGTCTACTATACTTCTAAACCGCTTTATCTTATAGGTGGGGAGTACAGCCTGTTTTCCTATAACGCAGTAGTTGCGTTCCTGAAGAACACCGCGTTATGGAAAAATTGTGTTATAATAAATAATATAGAATATAGGGTAAAGCACAGTCCGTGAAAACACGTGAGATGCATATGCAGGCTAAACAAAGACTGAGGCACGTGGGTAGCATCTAGAAGCATCCAGCAGCATCCCGCCTTGTGTGATACTACGCCGAGGCAGCTTTACAACCGTTCATTCCTACTCGCGCGACCTGGTTCTGTTCTATCCAATTTGCATCCGCGTTATAACAAATGTGTCCCCTAATACAGTAATCGCGTTATACACAATTTGCGTTATGAAAACCGCGCGTTATAGGAGAACAGATTGTACAGATACTGATCCCAGTGTTCATTGTTGCTTTGGCCAGGGACGGCAAGCAGATCAGCGACCTGGGTCGTGACATGGGCTACGACTTCAACTTCCAGGAGACGCGTTACCTGAAGGAGCTCGTCTCCGTGATGCCCGTGAGTACCTGGGGCCGATTACGATCATCCACAAGTGGGACCAGCTGCTGCAACTGGACGGACAGATAATTTTTTACTCAAATACTAAGTCATGTTGGCCAAAGGTCCAGCTGCCATTAGTGTGACCACAGAAAACCCCTTTTAAACGAGGTTTACTGCTCGATCCACCAAATACGGCCACCTAAGTGTACCAAGGACAAATCTGCGTTCAATGCGTTATTGAGCTTTCTTTCGTCGGGCACCTCGTTTGTAGAATGTCGTACTGCAGTCCAGTTAGGGACGCTTAGATAGTCGAAGTTTTTAGGGCTCATCTGAAAACACATTTATTTCCTCTTTCGCATATGTCTCTCCTCGCAGTTTCAATTATAAGGGTTTTTACTTGTGTTATAAAGTGCTGTGAGGCCTTGTGTGAATGGCGCTATATATAACTGAGTTTGACTTACTTAACAAGGAATAAAAAGGTATCAATTCTCCTGTATAGCGAATGGATGAATTGTGGTTGATTGGTGGTCACGAATTTATTTAATAATATTTTTTTACATAATAGGTATAGGGTCAGGTGTGCCAATTACAAACGTATGTAAATTTAACAAAAAATGCATTGTAAAGCAGTTAAAGATACAGTATTTGAAAATTACCAAGTTTTGCTTTTATGTTGATCCATTGGTTTGACCCTGTGTTGTATGCCCAATGTTTATCTCATGTTCGAATTTTAGGGCGATTCCATTATCACAGAGTGCTTCTACAACAGCCAGGAACGATCCATTACAACCACGGTAAACTACACATGGCACAAAGGTCTATATCTTAAATTCAAACTTAGCGCTCTACATATCATGTGAGACAAATACAAAGATGAAGATCCCCCGTATAACCTTTGCAGACTGTCGGGAAAGTTATATTAGGGAGCACTTCAAGGGAATGAAACGGCACACACAGGGGGTGGATGGCCAACACCACGCCCGGCCGCCTATGTCTCCCCAGTGCTAAATGTTTACACACTACACCGGGTACTCATTTAAAGATGGTATGTGTGCGTGAGACACACACGTACGTATGCACATCGACACACAAGACCTCTACGTACATTTGGGCGATCGCTGTTTTTGTTACGAGGGATAGCACATTTAAATACGAGCTATATAGTGCTTCGCTGGATGTTCTTGGCAGTCATCAGGCACGTGCAAATTGAACGTAGAGGATTGGTAAACATGGAAGAGTGGTCCCGTGGTGGGGAAAAATCCTGGCCTACCCCATAATCTAAAAATAATAATTCACATTTTGTAAGGTGCATTTCATCCGTTGATCCCCAATGCACCATGTAAGGAAAGCAGAAAATAAACAAAACCAGGGTAAATGGCCAGAACGAGTGGATAAAAGCCGGTTTAAAGAGGCGAGTTTTCCAAGACAGACTTAAAGAAATCTCACGATTATGATTGTCTTATGAGCAAAGGCAAAGTGGTCCAGAGCTTGGGAGTTTGCAAAAGTTCGATCACCCCTGCAGGAAATGAGCCTTGACCTCTCAGCGACCCATTTTTCCCCACAGGGTGGGCTCAGCACCCAGGAGGAGATGTGCCTCGGCTTCCTGCACTATTACCCCAAGGTGAACGTGTCGCGCTGCCTCAGCATCTATGACATGACGCAGGTGGCACCCGCCTTCGGATACACCGTCATGCCGTGAGAAATGCAACCACGCGCGCGCACGCCAATATCTACTCATGTAACTTGTACCTATACACTTGATTTATATTTATTTATCGTGACATGCTTACATTTTCCCTATTTTTCATTCCTATAGTTTTTTGTATTGTTATTGTTATAACTTGCTGATCTGCCCCGACTGGACATCTGTGAAAAAGAGCTTCCTAGCTCATCGGATTCCTCCAGGATAAAAATTATGATTCTAATAAGAGCATACCCACTAAGATGGCCAGGCCTGTCAACCGTCAAAACAAGTTTCTGCGATGCCTCATTTACCACTACCGCTTAGAAGCAATTGTCACCATTCTTTGGGACAGCCTGGAGCCAAACTCTTATGCCCAGAACACAATCTCCTCATTATTCATTGCTGTTGATCACTGCCGGTCAAAGATAATATATATCAGAACTCTATTCTGTGATTGGCTCCACAAAAACAACAGCTGTCATTCGCCACTAAATGGCGGTGATGTCACCATGGCGCCTTTGCCAGGCCAGGTGCACTAAGAGGCCACGTGTCCAAGACTCACTGACAGGAGGTCACGGGACACACCCAGGTAACGTTGGTTGACTGAGATGACTGACTCCTCATATACAGTACATACATGTTTTAGTCTATCCAATTACTCGCTTTCCAGATTAATATCGGCATTTGTTTAAGAAGCTAACTTGGACAGTTTTGACCTTTGGGTTTCATCAGCTTGTTAAACGAGTCACTCTGGTTGAATAATTGCTGCTGTGGATTACCAAATATTATTGGCAAGAGCACTGCATTGAATGGGGTTCTTACAGTGAGGGAAAAAAGTATTTGATCCCCTGCTGATTTTGTACGTTTACCCACTGACAAAGAAATGATCAGTCTATAATTTTAATGATAGGTTTATTTGAACAGTGAGAGACAGAATAACAACAACAAAATCCAGAAAAACGCATGTCCCACTCCTCTTTGCAGATATTCTCCAAGTCATTAAGGTTTCGAGGCTGACGTTTGGCAACTCGAACCTTAAGCTCCCTCCACAGATTTTCTATGGGATTAAGGTCTGGAGACTGGCTAGGCCACTCCAGGACCTTAATGTGCTTCTTCTTGAGCCACTCCTTTGTTGCCTTGGCCCTGTGTTTTGGGTCATTTTTATGCTGGAATACCCATCCACGACCCATTTTCAATGCCCTGGCTGAGGGAAGGAGGTTCTCACCCAAGATTTGACGGTACATGTCTCCATCCATCGTCCCTTTGATGCGGTGAAGTTGTCCTGTCCCTTAGCAGAAAAACACCCCCAAAGCATAATGTTTCCACCTCCATGTTTGACGGTGGGGATGGTGTTCTCGGGGTCATAGGCAGCATTCCTCCTCCTCCAAACACGGCGAGTTGAGTTGATGCCAAAGAGCTCCATTTTGGTCTCATCTGACCACAACACTTTCACCCAGTTGTCCTCTGAATCATTCAGATGTTCATTGGCAAACTTCAGACGGGCATGTATATGTGCTTTCTTGAGCAGGGGGACCATGCGGGCGCTGCAGAATTTCAGTCCTTCACGGCGTAGTGTTACCAATTGTTTTCTTGGTGACTATGGTCCCAGCTGCCTTGAGATCATTGACAAGATCCTCCCGTGTAGTTCTGGGCTGATTCCTCACCGTTCTCAATGATCATTGCAACTCCACGAGGTGAGATCTTGCATGGAGTCCCAGGCCGAGGGAGATTGACAGTTCCTTTGTGTTTCTTCCATTTGCGAATAATCGCACCAACTGTTGTCACCTTCTCACCAAGCTTCTTGGCAATGGTCTTGTAGCCCATTCCAGCCTTGTGTAGGTCTACAATCTTGTCCCTGACATCCTTGGAGAGCTCTTTGGTCTTGGCCATGGTGGAGAGTTTGGAATCTGATTGATTGATTGCTTCTGGGGATAGGTGTCTTTTATACAGGTAACAAGCTGAGATTAGGAGCACTCCCTTTAAGAGTGTGCTCCTAATCTCAGCTCGTTACCTGTATAAAAGACACCTGGGAGCCAGAAATCTTTCTGATTGAGAGGGGGTCAAATATTTATTTCCCTCATTAAAATGCAAATCAATTTATAACATTTTTGACATGCGTTTTTCTGTTTTTTGTTGTTGTTATTCTGTCTCTCACTGTTCAAATAAACCTACCATTAAAATTATAGACTGAACATTTATTTGTCAGGGGATCAAAATATTCTATATGGAGGGCTCTTGCAATGTTCCGGTTGGAGTTCTTTGTTGTTTATTTACGTGTGTATTTATCGAGGTATTCCTGACTCGAAATACTGACCTTCCTGAGTCGAGCTTTTTGAGGTTTTACTGTACGTTCTATTGTCCGCCTCGCAGTAGCTACCCACACCTGATCATAACCCCTGTGGAGGACAAGGGGAAGCCGATCTTCTTAGTCTATGACAAGGTAAACTGGACGGAGCAGACTATCCGCACCGTGGAAATGGCGGCGCGCACGGCCGAGCAGCATGCGGTGCACGCGGACACGGTGAGAAGAGCGCAGAGTGGGGGGGCTGGTAAAAATTGTTTTTACCAAATGACAAGAAGTTTGACGGCAACATCGGTTGAAGGATGACATTTTGGTAGTTGATGCCAACCATAAATTGCAGGCAAAGAGAGCTATTTCTAGCTTGGTTTGACTTTGCGGGGTGAATTTACAGTTTTCTAAAGAGTGTTCTTTGGGTCTTTCTGTAAAGTCGCGTAGATAGGTTCAAAGAAAATAACAAAAATCTTCGACGTTTCGATCGCAACACAAGCGGTCATCAGGAAAAGGGGGGTTAGCTTCTAAAGACAACTGCTTATAAAGGTTTGAAATGGGCATAGCCCAAATGTCAGCAGCCAATGCCAATGCAGGTGGTGGGTCGCGGCAGTGGCGGTGGTGGGCTTTCCACCAATCAAAGGGCTGCAGGCAAAAATTTGCGTGTCAATGCAAGATCGCCGAGCATCCTTCACGGCGAGTGCGCCAAGGTTGCTATGTTAATGTTAGAGATTAACATGTTAATGGAAGATCATGAAGCAGCAGCCTCGAGGATGTGTTGGTAAGAAATTTAATCTGTTAATGTAAAAAATAAGAGAGCCGAAAATAACAACTAACATCGAAAGGTGGTAGGCTGGGAACATCACAGCCAGTTATGACTTAAACTGGTTAATAACGTCCTTCCAATGATTGCTCAGTTTGTACCCATCTTCTCAGCTGAAATTGTGTTTGTGTCTGTATATATGGATGGCTTCATGAACGAACCTTTTTGATAGCCAGTGGGTTTTTAAAGTACATTCGTCTTGGAGAAATTAATTTCGCGTGAGCCCACCACATTAAAACAATTATCAGCCACGGCCGTGTTTGAGATCTGCCTTATGTTTACGAACACGGTCCGAGACATGTCACTTAGTTTCCCCAAATGTAACTAGTCCCGCAGACACAGCGTAGTTTGGAGACGCCGGGGTATGACATCCTTCACAGATGGGATCAGATCACCAATTTTATGTACTGTGTTAAATCGAACCTGGATCTTGTGTTTGTTCATGATTTTGGAAATCTTTTTTGTGACCCCTGCTATGTATGGCAAGGTGATTGTTTTGATTGGGTCCTCAGATGGTTCTTTCCCACTGGTTGGGGTGATAGCTTTACAGATTGTGTAGTCTGAATATACATTCATCTTGAGAGCTTGGTGTATGTGTTCCAGTTCGCTGGCTAAGTGATGATGGTCAGGAATATATCGAGCTCTATGGTGTAGAGTTTTGATGAGGGAATTCTTCTGGGATGGATGGTGGTGGGAGTCAAGTTTTAGGTAGGCATCCATATGGGTGGATTTCTTGTAGACATTGAGCCATCTGGTCTTTTTTCGATTTTCGTTATTTTGTTATTTTATGTGATCCTATCTATGTGACTTTACCCGAAAGACCCAAAGAATATGAATTCCTGCAGTCACGAAAGCTTTATGTCAAGGTTTCTAAAGAGTATTAAAGCATTAAGACTTTGGGATTACACACAGGCACACATATGCCCATTACACACATGTACAGTATTTCTCAAGTCAATGTCAAGAGTTCTTCTAGCCAATGCTGCTGATGCCACAAAACTTAGTCATAACTCAAGCAGAACTCAGAGTATTGAAGTAGTAATTGTACCTATGTTTAACAATCTGTTCCCCTCAAATTCCTCTTCCATCTCTCCGTACAATCTCCCACTCTCAACACGATCTCCACACCTTCGCAGAATGGGTTCCAGTCCTTCCCCGGGCAGAGAATCCCCGAGATCCCTGCGGACCCCGAAGCACCCCCCTGCAACCTCACGGAAACCACCACGACACCTACCACGAAACCCACCACGAAACCCACCACGACACCTACCACGAAACCCACCACGAAACCCACCATGAAACCCACCACGAAACCCACCACGAAACCCACCACGAAACCCACCACGAAGTCCGGAGATAAGGGGGCAGCCCCGAGCGTGCACCCCCACGGGACCTGGCTGCACCTGCTCCTGACGCTGCTCATCGCGACCCTCGCTCTGCTGCCTGCGGAGTCTCTCCGCGCCTAACTCATGAAGTAAAGGAACTCAAGAACTACCATGACAATTAGAAATGTAATACTTCACTAAAATAGATGCTCATGTTCATGCAACAAGCATTGGCTTTTATGTAATGATAATAAAGTATTTCCAATTAATTTAAGTTGTATATGACTCATTTATGGGCTCCTTGCAGCTACCATGACTTCCACGTGCACCACACTAGGAAATAAATCGTGGGAGGGTCATTTTATGAATCGTCACCGATTTTATATATCTATATTTTTTTAAAGCCACAGTGTTATTGACAAATATGTTGAGTTGTATTGTCCAAGAAGGAACTGATCAGTGAATCAAATTAGAACTGGCTGTGTTGACCGGTTACTTTGTTGTGCAAGAACACTCTTTTTAGACTGCTATGGCCGAGCTGACCAGATTTTTCGAAGAATTTGAGTTAAAGAACAACTCCAGTTGTATATTATTTTCAGAGTTTACCCAAATAACCAAAATAAGCTGACCATGTTTTCTGATAAAGGCTCACTCACAAATGCTTGCAAGTAAAAGTGCCAGGACTGCTTTACTGACGTAATACTGGTAGGAACCTCCTGGTTACACCAGCCCACAGAGGATTATTGTGTCCGTCCGTCCGTCCTGCATCAAAAAATGGGAGGGGTGGGGCTGAGTGGAGAGGGGAGGGCGGGGAGGGGCTGGGTAGGGAGGGAGGGGCTGGGTGGGGAGGGGAGGGTGGGGAGGGGCTGGGTGGGGAGGGTGGGGAAGGGCTGGGTGGGGAGAGTGGGGCTGGGTGGGGGGTGGGAGGGGTGGGGTTGGGTGGGGGGTGGGAGGGGTGGGGCTGGGTGGGGAGGGGCTGGTCACCCCGTGGTGCCCTTATAAAACTCAACATTTAACCTACTCACGCCGGCTTGTGCCCGCCCTCATAGTCGGGCATATTTGCGGAATACACCACGCCGCCATTGACCCTGGCCATTGACCGAGCAACCCAACGTTCCTACCAGCTCCCTCCGCAGGAATGTGTTTAAATTTTGCTTAATTAAGGGTCGGTTCTGCTTGAAACATTTTCGATTGAGATGCTTGTTGATATTTTCATCTTAGGCAGAATTCTAAGTTACATAATGAGAGCCAGCCGGTAAAGGAAAATCAGCCTCAAAGATTTGGGTTTCCGGCCAACTTGTGATGTCTAAAAACATGTAAACGTGATTTGGTAGAGGAAGGGGCGCCAACTTGAGCTCATACTCGAGTTGTACTGTTTATGAAAATGTGAAATATGTGTGATATGGAGTGTGATGTACATTCATATAGTGGTGATGACATCACTATGGCACTTGTACCAAGCTAGGTGCACCTTGAGGCAAAGTTCAATGTCGAAAGCATGCCAGCAGGTTGTCATGGGACGGATCCAGATGCGATGGGTTGTCTCACTGATATGACCAGCCGAGGCACCACCTGTGCTCCCTACTGAGCCAACTTGCTGAGTTTCAGCGCCCTGGCACTCCACCCATTGACGTGACCGTTGCTCCTCTGCCTTCCACTGTTCTTGGAATGTACCTGCTTCCAACTGCCCAGTAGTACCTTCATAACCATCTACCACAAAGGCTGATCATAACGCTGCTGGTACCAGTCATCGGCAAGTCCAATTAACTCCACATCCTTCTGTACGATATTAGTCCATCCCTTCTCTAGCCTGTGCCGCGTCCATTTACCCCCCTCTATCTGGCCAAATAGAAGCGGCTTGGGCATGCAGTGGCCCATGGGCATGCAGGCTATATGACCCAGCCAACGCAGCCTCGCCTGCCACAGAAACCCACTGATGGTACTGTTCAAATCTTTCAAGGATCTGTGAGCTCCTCACACAATCCAGTCGGGTCAGGCCAGGCTGAATTATTTTTCCTTTATTCTTTTTATTTCAACTCAACGCGAGCTCAATACAAAGCGCCAGTCGCCAAACGAAGGGGGGAACAGAAATTCTGCAAACGGCACCCTGAGTTCGATGAGACAGGGCCTGTTGAAGGGGATAAAATGGTAAGGGGGACGATAACTAACATACTGGAGGAAATAAATTATATACACGCGACACATGTCCCACAGAGCAGTACTCCACTTCCCAGCCTGAATGTTTTAAACTGGCACAAATGTTCAACAAAGGGGTCCACGTTTCGCAAGCAAAGAGAAGAGAAAGCATAACTGTGGCTGAGATGACCCAGAGCTTTATATGGAACAATAAACCAGGGAGTGTCCACACAGCGTTATGCAGCAGATGAAAAGGTAATGCCTTTCAACTGATTCGGAGTGAGACTGCTGCCCAGCCGGAGCTGGCCAAAAGCACAATGCCCAGTTATGGGAACTTCTCCACTCTCTCCACAGCTGCTCCATCAATCATGAGTGGAGGGGGTGGAGTGATTCATGACGTAACATACCTAGGCAGGTGCTTTGTTTTCGTGGGACAGCCATATAAGGATATGCAACCAGGCGGGGCCTCACTTCCTGCGTGGACTGGGTGAAATTGAGTTATTTCCTGTGGGAATTGGGTCAAATGGAGTCACTTCCTGTATAGACTGGGTGAAATGGAGTTACTTCCTGTGTGGACTGAGTGTAATGGAGTCACTTCCTGTGTGGACTTGGTTAAATGGAGTCAATCCCTGCGTGGACGGGGTGAAATGGAGTCTCTTCCTGCGTGGCCTGAGTGCAGTCACTTCCTGTGTGAACTAAGTGTAATGGAGTCACTTCGTGGGTGGACTTGGTGAAATGGAGTCACTTCCGGTCTGGACTAAGTGGTAAGGAGCCACTTCCTGTGTGGACTGAGTGTGATGGAGTCACTTCCTGTGTGGACTGGGTGAAATGGAGTATGGTCCAGAATTAACCCAATCGAGACCAAACATATATATAAATAAATACCTTGATCTGTATGTCACCAAAACCTCTATGGTACTTCCCGACAAGGTAGAAAGCTCTAATTTGGTACATAGGTAGCTTTTAGGACACAAACAATGGGAACATCTGAAAATCCTAAATCTCGATTTAAGTGCCCCATAAGCATGTTTGTGAGTGCCATTCAGAAACCGACTGCAAATACAATTAAAGCAAGAACCATTGTTCTATCTTTTATTGTTTTTGAGATATTTCGGATTCAAGTGGTTTCCAACGAAACATACAAATTTTTGATTTAAAGCTTTCGAGACTGCAGTAATTAATATTCTTAGTTTTTTCGGTAAAGTCACGTTGAAGAGAAACAACAAAATAATAAAATATATATAAAAATAAAAGTATATATTTTATTATTTTGTTGTTTCTCTTCAACGTGACTTTACCGAAAAAACTAAGATTATACAAATTTTTGTTCAAATCTGAATAATTCGAAAATGGTAAAAGATAGGTGTTTCCCCTCATAGAGCATGAAGTTAATACATTTTTGTTTTTTCTAATACAAATAAGAACGGGCTATTTAAATTGAGCAGTTACGTATTTAAATATAAGTAATTGAATCAAGTCGTCAACAATTATTTTTTGAAATTTTAGAGTAGTTAGTGTCTGATCGTAAATTTAAAAAAAATCATATCAGGTTAATTATTATATTTATTGAAAACTTTTACCTGGCAAAGACAGGCTTTATGAACTAGTAACATTGGCTTTGAGATTCATCGAAGATACTGGTGTTATATAACTATCAACCACATCTGAACAACAACAGGCCGTTTCGGACATCGTCATGAATGGAAAAGTAAAAACCAGCCATAGGAGTGTGACTGTTGCCATGCAATCCAAACTATGAACCACTGCAGTCTGCAATCCTTCAACGGAGGAGGAATCACAAAGCTACACGGACTCACTTCTGAAGCTCTGTCGTATCTAGCAGACCTCGACAAAAGCATTTGGCTCCTGAACATATTGCTGCCACATGCTAGAATATAGTAGCTAAGTCTGGAGGGTCTACCTTTAAGTATATAATGAGTTCTGGACATCTATGATACTGGACATGTGTGAGAAAGAGCTTCATAGCTCATCGGATTTCTCCAGTCTCAATAAAGATTCTGATTTTGAAAAACAAAACCCTTTTTTGATTAGAACATGCGGGAGAAAGCCGGAGTCTCCAGAGAAAGCGACACATACATGAACACATCATATAAGCCAGATATCTACTTGATGTGCTCTAATTTTAGTCATGTACATGTTGCACTATGACCCCGGCGACCCGAGTTCGATTCCCACTCACGACCAATAACATATTTGCACCGTTCCTGGGCCTCTGCTAAGTCGACTCAACCTCAAATGAGTACCTGGTGCAATGTGTAAACATGACCACCTGGGAGACAAAATCGGCCGGATGTGGTGCTGGCCACCCATCCACTCGTGTGCCTTGCCCGACTTTATACATGTTCGCTAACAGCACATGCCTCAAACGTCTGTAAAGCTATACAGACATTTGAGGCGGCTACTTGTGCTGTGGTCGAAACGTCGTGAGAATTTTATTGTTTTATTTTATTATTTTATTCTCATTCTATGTGACTTTACCGAAAGAACCAAAGAAGAACTATACGGGGATCTTTGTCTTTGTTGCAATTGGCATTGGCGTGCCGAGCCATTGGTGTTAAGGTCAGCCCACCTCATCATGTGCTGGCAAGAATGTAAAATCACACAATCTGTCACTTGTCATCGGGGTTAAAATAGCACATGCTCGCATTGTCGGAAAAGAACATTTCTTACTAAAATATGCACCAGCGATGCAGCGGAGGGGGGGGGGGGGGTCTAAGTCACAGGATCTGCTGGCACACATTTAAATACCAAATTTTTCGCACCTCCCCACCTGCCTCGTCTGTCTCGGCTACCACGGTCCCCTCTCTTATAAAGACATCACGTCCTCCGTGTTCACTGGCAGCGCTGCGTCTGTCACCCAATCTATCGACCTCTGCTTCGCCACGTGTGGACAATGTCGGTGAAGATGATGGCACCGACGGTTGTGATGATGGTGATGATGATCACGGGGGTGATGAAGGTGTCCTGTGCTTTGAACGTCACGG